ATCTCTTTTAATTAAAATCAGATCCCCAAACAAGGTTCTTGTTAAAGGATTTGTCATGGGGATGATATGAGCCTAATAAAAATAACTCAGCATGAAATTGCTCGTTTCCTAGCGGAAGCAATAAAGGGAAACTTGTGAGTCTGAAGAGCCTTCCCAGTGTCTTAACTAAAGCTTACAGGATCTGATTCCTGGGAAGATAGTGTGGGTGCCGGCGATAGTGAGGTCCTAGAAGACATTGCAAGTACCTTAGAGATTCAATCCAGCCATTCATTGAACCAGTCTCCGTGGGCCGCATGGCTAGCAGCTATGTATCTTGGAATCACGGTTGCCTGGACTCCTTTTTTGAATTAAAAATCTTTTTTGGAAAAAATAATACAGGTAATGACATAATACACATTCGTGTTCCCAACGCCAAGGATGAATATGTTAATATCTTGTCATATTTGCTTCAACTTCCTTATTTAAAAAAAAAAAGAAAGAAACTGCAAGTGAAGGTGACTTAATCCTTGGCATTGCCTAGAGCCTTTATCTCTCCTTTATCTTCCCTCCTTCCGTTTCCTCTGACCCTAGGCTAACCCTAGGCAACCAAACTCTTGGGTTTGATATGAATCAACCTAACTTGTGCTTTATATCTATATATACTCGTATTTTGCACTCATCATTAAAGAGCAAAAACATGAAGCATATGAGCAGGTGGTAAAGCACATGGGAAAATCCAGGTTGGACAGGATGGTGTGGCCTGGGCTCTGGTGTAGTAAGGTAAATATCAGGGGTCCTGGGCAGTACCAACTGGTGTCGCTAAGATATCCACAGAACACCAGCTATGTGGACCCCTTGTCAAACCCAAAAGCTCTATATGGTATACTTCTTACCCCATTTTTGTTTTGTGTGGGTACACCAATGTCAGGGCTCGAACTCAGGGCCATTCTTAGCTTTCTTGCTCACAGTTGGTACTCAATCACCTGTGCCATTCCTCCCATCCAGCATTCTGCTGATCAATTGGAGATGCACTCTTGAAGACATTTCTTCCCAGGCTAGAAGTGAGTCTCAATCCTCCCTATCTTAGACTCCTGACTAGCTAGGATTACAAGTGTGAGCCACCAATGCCTGGCTCAGTCATCTCTTCTCTTTCCTGTGTGGGGTGCATTCCTGTTCTTCCTTCAGGAATATTGAACACTGAGTTTTCCATTCTGCTCTATAGTCAGTGGTTCTTCTCCTGCTTAGTGCCACAGGCACTAAGCCTACCTTAAACTTTTTTCACTCTATAGCCCCTTCCTGTTATCCCATCTCTATTCTTAAAAAACAAATGTTTTACACATGTGATTAAACTGCACAAAGCCAAACATTTCTGCATAATGAGTGCATGCAAAACTGGAGAAACTGAAATATGAGATGCAGAATAATATCCTGGTTATAATATTAAACTGTAGTATGTGGTTATGTAAGACATTGACAAGGGGGAAACAGAATGAAGGATGTACGAATTCCCAGTGTTATTTCTTACAGTTATAGGTGAATCTACAATTATTTCAAAACAAAAGAGTTAAAAGTATTCCTTAAAAGTGTCAGTAAGGGGGCTGGGAAGGTGGCTCAGTGGTAGAGTGCTTGCCTTGCATGCATGAGGCCCTGGGTTCAATTCCTCAGCACCACATACACAGAAAAAGCTGGAAGTGGGTGCTATGGCTCAAGTGGTAGAGTGCTAGCCTTGAGCTGAAGAGCTCAGAACAGTGCTCAGGCCCAGAGTTCAAGCTCCACAACCAGCAAAAAAAAAAAAAAAGTGTCAGTAAGTACTGACTGTTTACTGTGTGTTAGGTACCATGCTCAGCACTGTGGTTGTCTCATTGTATTGCTTGAAATCTGAGACACAGAAAGGTTAAGTCATTTACTCTGGGTTGCTTAGCTAATAAGTGGCAGAACTAGCATTCAGATCCTACCAACCTCCATCCCAAAATACCACTCTGCTTAGCCCATTGTCTGTTTGGCTTCATATCCTGCCTCCAAGTCTGGCTCTTCTTCTCTTTGTAAATTTAGCTTCTGTTCCAATCACTTGAAATTGCTTTGGTCGGGATCAGTTGCCAGTTCCACCTGTCTCTTTCTGCATGCAGCCTTTGCCAGAGTTCTTCCCTTACCAAACACTTTCTGAGGGCGTGTGGTGTGCCAGATTGCGCTCTACTGGAACAAACAAGACAGAGAAAACTTCAGTAAGGAGGAACACATCTAGGCCAGAAATGGAGCGTTAAGCACAAGAGCTCATGGACAGTGCCCAGTCCCTGAGTTTAAACCCCAAACAAACAAAGCAACACACTTCACTCATTACCAGCTCCTTTCTGCTTACCGCTGCCACCAAGCTGTTTGTGGATGGTCAGTGGGCAGCTGGTTGTCGCCTCCCTTCTGTTTCCAATGCTTTTTTTGTCTGTAATTTCACGACATAGGAAAATATTATTTTTAAATATCTAGCACGTTTTGTGGCAGTACTTGGGCTTGAACACAGGACCTGGGTACTGCCCCTTCACTTTTTCAGTCCAGGCTGGTGCTCTACCACTTGAGCCACACCTCCACTCTGGCTCTTTGCTGGTTAATTGTAGGTAAGCATCTCATGGACTTTTACTGCCCAGGCTGGCTTCAAATCTCGATCCTCAGATCTCAGGTTCCTGAGTAGCTAGGATGATGGATGTGAGCTGCTGGCGCCTGGCATGTCTAACGCTCGCTCTTTCTTCCAGGAGTCTCAATCCTTCTATGTACTTGTCAAGAATATGAAAAGAAATCCTGAAATAGCACCTTTCTTATGGAATTATTAAAGATGAATTGTGGGGTGGGGGGAGATCAATTGTCTTTGACCTACTACCTACTTTCCCCATATGATGATAATTTAAATTAATTTGATGCTTTCTAATCTGGAAACACCAGGAGTATCTGGGCCGAATATGAGGTTTCATTTCACATGTCCAAACAAAAAGCTACTCCAAGGGAAATGCTTGAGTTATGGCGACATGGGGCTAGCTTTTGCGTAGCACCAAAGCCAAGCATTTGCAGCAGAGTTTCGAGAGGGAGGTGTCTTGTCTCTTTCCACATGTCCGTGGTCGTTCTGTGTTTTCATTCCATTCCTCCAACTCAGGAAAGAAGAAGAAGCATTCTTTCACACTTCTTCATGCCCAAACCCAGCTCTGTATTCATCCTACTGGGAATGGATTTTGCCTCATAATTGAAAGCAACTCTAATCCCCTTGCTCATGTCCCGGGTGACTTGTTTGTGTCTGATAACTGTTTATGGATAGCAGAAATAGCCAATTTTCTTGTACAGTACTGTCAAATCCATTGTCTTCAAGGAAACCAAATACATCTTGAACAAAAGATGGGAGATTTGACCCGGTGACTTGCAAGGCATTAAAAGTGATTCCTTGTCAAATGCATGAAAAACAACTCTTCCCTTTCTCTAACTTGAGGGAGAAAAAGGGGAGAGAGGGAGAGAGAGAGAAAAAAAGAGAGAGAGAGAGAATCTCACACCAGATGGCAATTCTTTGCTAGCAAAATAGGCTTGGGTTGGTTCAGCTCCATTCCTTTATGTTCCTTTTGCAAAACCCACAAAAAAACACATTTGGGGCCACTTTGTGGAGTTGGCAACCGTCTCTGCGTTTTAAGGAAATCATATGGACACAAAGAAGCCACAGCTGATGAAGGGCTGGGAACCCCAGGGCTTGGAGTGGGATGCAGAGGACTGAAATTTAGGTCATCAGTTAGAATGTGGCCTGGGCCTGAGATTATTCCCGATTTTACCAAGTTTGGTTACTTGATTAGATTTGATTCACATGAAAACAAATTGAGGGAAGCTTGTTGACTGGACCTCTTCTTTAGAGGATAAGAGAAAGAGGGAGGAAAAGAAAGAAGGAGGAGGAGACAAGGGAAGAAGGAAAGGAAAAGAAAGGAGAAGGGGGAATGAGGGGGAAAGAAGCGGGGAAGAGGAAAAGAAAGGAGATGGAGGAAGAGAAGGAACTAGCAACTATAAAATTACCCTTTGGATGGTCAGAAGATAAAATGATTCCTAATTTCTAGATCATTCTTAATGCAGAGAATTTAAGCTTTATGATGTTCAGTGCCTTTTTCTACTGCTCACATGTAAGATATTATAGCTGTTTAAGTGATTTAGAAAGCACTTGAGACCTGTGTGTGCACATGAGCGAGAGAGAGAGAGAGAGTGAGAGTGAGAGAGTGAGTTAGGCTCTGGCTCATGCCTATTAATTCTATCCACAAAGGAACCTGAGATCTGAGGATCAGGGTTGAAAGTCAGCCTTGGCAGAAAAGCAGAAAAGTTCGTGAGACTCCTATCTCCAATTAACTAGCAAAAAACCTGAAACTCCAAGTGTGATTCAAGTGGTATAGCACCAGCCTTAAGCACAAAACTAAGGGACAGTACTTAAGCCCTGATTTTAAGCCCAGTACCTGAGTGAGGAAACAGGCAGGGAAGGTGTGGGGGATGGAATGGGAGTGCAGGACAGGAAGAAACTTTATCAGTAAAGATGTTGAAGACTCTGGTCACTCTTAGCTAAGGATGTTAATGAGGAGGACTTAGAACATTACATTTGATGGTGCCAGTGGCTCACATCTGTAATAGCTACTAGCCACTCAAGGAGACTGAGACCTGGAAGATCAAAATTTGAAACTGACCTGAGAAGAAAGTTCATGAGACTCTAGTTAACTAGCAAAATACTGGCCTGTTGGTGTGGCTCAAGTTGTAGAATGCCAGCCTTGAACAAGAGAACTGAGAGTAATAAGTCCTGAGTTCAAGCCCCATCATGATACCAAAAAAATCAACTCTGTGTGTATTTGTATCAATTGGCTTTTATGATTTCTTCTTCACCTAAGGCCCTGAATGCATCCTGAATAACAACCTAGCCCCTTGTACCTTTTTTAAAAATCTGGAGGTATTTTCAATCATTTAAGATAATATTTGCTGTCTCTTAGAAAATATGACCCATCTTTGCTAATGATCTTTTATTCCCACAGGTGTCTGAGCACACGCAATTAAGTTGGATCCTAACCTGCATGGTCAGACTGCCTCGATTACAACATTTACACCAGTGGAAGGTAGAGGCCCACACAGTGTTTTTGATAACCAAAATCCTCCCTGTCTGGTACCTGCCATTGGCATCTTTTATCTCTCTGCTCAGGTATTAAATGGAAAGAGAAAGGGCTCATCAAGATACCTCCTGACATGCAACTCCTGCTCCTTTTCTTCTGTGTTGGCTAGACTTGATCATGATTTTGAACTTACCACATGGTAATTGACAAAAAGGAGCACCATTTCTGAATGACTAGGCCTTCCAACAAACTGGCAAAAGAGACAACATCTTAAATTTAACATTTAAACAAGTTGAGCTCAGGCAACTGTTCAAACCCACAGGGAGAAAAAAAATTAAGGCTGTCCCTCTTCTAAGAAGTTGAACTGAGAAAGATAAATTGGATAATTTGCAGTACTTTACTTCCATTTCTTCCTGCAATTGGATAACTCGAAGGTCAGCAGCCCCCACCGACGTCAACACTCATTTCATTTTCAAGCCTCTTTTGAGGCTGTTTTCAGGGCTATTGATTTCCACTCCTGTTGGTCTTCAAAGCCTTCACAGGCCCTGCAGAGAGTAGCAGATGTTTTCATGACTATATATTAATTGTACAGCGAGGGTTCACCGTGGTATTTCACACATGCATACATTGTACTCAGAGCAAATTAACCCCTCTGTTACTTCCTCTTTCCCCATTCTGGCAACCCCACTATTCTTCTACAGGTTTCTGGAAGTTTCATTAAACCAACTGCATACACAGACTCAATGAATTTCAGCGATCCTCCCTCCCCTTCCCTGTAGTTCTCTTTCCCCTCACTGCTTCCCCATTTTCTTCCCAGTCTCACAGTTACAATCATGTTGTGTGTGTGTGTGTGTGTGTGTGTGTGTGTGTGTGTGTGTGTGTATGCATGCATGCATCATATACATATATGTAGGTTTTAGGTCTAGATTCTACCTATAAGAGAAATCATATGATCTTTGTCCTTGTAAACTTGGCTTCTTTCACTTAACATGAGGATTTCCAGTTCCAATCATGTGATTGCATTCCTTTTTTTTTTTTAATTGGACCTTGCCTTCTCATTCACTTTTCCATTCCAGGCTGACACTCTCCTACTTGAGCCGTATCCTCATTTCCAGCTTTTTGGTGGTCAGTTGGAGATAAGAGTCTCATGGATGACTTTCCTGTCCAGGCTGGCTTCAAACCTCGACCCAAGGTCTCAGCCTCCTGGGTAGCTAGGATTACACACATAAATCACCATGACTCCACAAAATTGAGTTGTTTTCCTCTTTTCTGGTTTCTAAGTTAAAAGCTCATGATTTTTCCCAAGTGATGCAAGGAAACCTTATCAGGGACACTGCAGCAGGGCATGCTAATTTACCCTACTTCTGGAGATTTAATTTCATGATCATTTCTGATCTTATTTATAAAATCCAAAATGTATCTGACTTTGGAGCCTGGTACGTGTCTTTGTCTTTAACAAAATAAAGAACCAATAGTGGCCTGGAGTGCAGCTGGGTGGTATATAATACATGCTTACTATGAGTTATGAGGGAGGCCCTGGACTCAGTCTCCAACACCAAATACAAATTAAATCAACAAGATAAAGGCAGCTGGCTCATACCCATAATCCTAGCTACTCAGGAGACTGAGATCTGAGGATCATCGTTCAAAGCCAGCTCAGCAGAAAAGTCTATGAGAGGGCTGGGAAGGTGGCTCAGTGGTAGAGCGCATGCCTTGCATGCCAGAGTCCCTGGGTTCGATTCCTCAGCACCACATAAGCAAAAAAGAAAAAAGCCAGAAGTGGCGCTGTGGCTCAAGTGGTAGAGTGCTAGCCTTGAGCTGAAGAGCTGAGGGACAGCGCCCAGGCCCAGAGTTCAGGCCCCATGACCAGACCCAAAAAAAAGAAAAGAAAAGTCTATGAGACTCTTATCTCCCATTAACCAGCAAAAAGGTAGAAATGGAGTTGTAACTCAAGTGGCAGAGTATTGGCTTTGAGTGAAAAAAGTTAAGGGTTAGCGCCCAGGCCCAGAGTTCAAGACCCAGGACTAAAAAAATAAAAAAAAATGAATACGTAAAAATAAAATGTCTTGACTCATATAATTAGGTTCAAATCAGGTCTTCCCCCTCTTCTCAACTCCCATAGACTAAGAGTGCCAAGCAGCAGCAGGAAGGAACGATGGGTCTGCTAACCTACCCAGTGCTCCAGGCTGCAGACATTCTGTCCTACAGGTAAGGGGAGAGCCTACCCAGGCTCATACATGTTTTTTATGTGGGTCTGCTTGTTTGTTTGCCTTCCAGTACCAGGATTTGAACTCAGGGCCTCAGTTATGCCGAACTTTCCTGTTTAGCTGATCCTCTACTACTTGAGCCATGGCTTTTGCCCAACATTTTACTGGATATTTTGGAGATAAAATCTCATAGACTTTTTTGTCTGGACTGGCTTCAAACCATTATCCTCTGGATCTCAGCTTCCTGAGAATTTTTTCTAAGAAGCTGAACTGAGAAAGATCAATTTGATAATTTGCAGTACTTTACCTCCATTTATTCCTATGGCTGGAGAGCTCATGGATTCTCCACGAGTACTTTCCCGCCCCTTTCTCCCAGTGCTAGGCTCTGATTCTTCCCCAGTTGAGCTAGAGCTCTTTACCTCTAAGTCCAATAGCTTGGAGATGTTATCTGGTACCTTCAAACAGGACTCCAAAGTCCTCAGACCCTTGTGAAGGAATCATCCTGAGGAGAGGCTGCTGAGCTTCTGAGCATGCGTACACATAGGGTGTCTTGTGTTCACTTAAGTGCTGGAATCTTGATAATATTTAATATGTCTAAATACACTTTCTACTTCTCTTGGGAAGTCTAGATTGCTTTTCTCTAATAGGTAGCAAGACAAAAATATAATATGGTCCTAAAGAAGTAAGGTAGAAAGATTCCATAAAGAACGTTGACTTTTTTTAACCTGTAAAATGTGACTCATTATTCAGTACAAGGGTTATTAGAAGATTAAAAATGAAATATGATACACACAGCATGGTGACTGGGAAATGTTACCTGTTTGTGGTTAATCATGTGATTGATAATGTTGATTATTGTGTCTGATTTTCTTTTTCAAACCCTACTGTGTGTGTGTACGCGCGCGTTCACGCGCATGCACATGTGCACCAGTTCTAGGGCTTAAACTCAGGGTTGGGAAGCTGTCTAGCTCCTTTGCTCAAGGCTGGTGCTCTACCACTTCTGGCTTTTTGGTGGTTAATTGGAGATAATAATCTTACGGGTTTTCCTGCCTGATCTTGCTTTGACCTGTGATCCTCAGATCTCAGTCTCTTGAGTAGCTAGGGTGACAAGTGTGGGACACCAGTACCACCACTTTAAATCACAACAGCAAAACTTACACAAAGTTCTTTTTCCTTCTGCCTAATTTCTCAGATAGAAGATTGGTTTTTACTCTAGAGCTTAGCACTCATGAGGTTTGTTTTCCGTTTCTTAAAATGGAAAACTTTCACATTATTGTTGTTGTTGTTGTTGCAGAATGCTCCTCTGTGGCATGTGAGAATTTCCAGCATCATTCCATGCAAGCTTTGGGGCCATTATTAAGTAGAATGGCCACACACCTGTCTATCTGATAACTCAGACCACTACCAAGTGAAGAACCGGTTGGTTTTGTGTACAACATGCAAATGCCAGGCAGAGGGGTGATTCCTGGACTGGCCAGGACAGGGGGCGGGTCAGGGAGGGAATTATAGAACACCACTGACATTAAACTGTTACAATTGTTTATTTCTGAAATTTTCTACTTAAGGTTTTTATTTTTATATCACAGTTGATCCCCAAGTAAATAAAACTTCAGAAATTAAAACTGGATAAATTGGCAGAATGCTAAAAGATACTATCATTCTCTTTGTCTATAATGTGAACATATACATTCTAACTCAGGGGAGGGGGTATGGAGCAATTTATATATTAATTGATATCACCTGGGATAAACTCACTTAAAAAAAATTTAAGATACGAAAGGAAGCTTTTAAAATGCTGATATTAGCAAAAACAGCTTCTTAGGATCGCAAAACCTGTTTTATGTGCTGCCCTTTTTAAAGCTGAGCCTGAGGTTTTAAAAATCCTTTTATCTTATACAAAAACCATAAGTATTTCAGACATGGAAGGTAAACCTTAAGAGTATCCTGATGGCTTCTTGTCTGCCTGCCCCTTCGACATCACATAAAAACATGGCATCCTTCTAGCCATGGAGGTCTCAGTTATCAGTTAACTCCCAGCCTACCTTAGGAGCATTTAACTGTTTTTGTTGTTGTTTTTGGCTAGTCCTGGGGCTTGAACTCAGAGCCTTGGCATTGTCCATGAGCTTCTTTTGCTCAATGCTAGCACTCTACCACTTGAGCCACAGCGCTACTTGCGGCTTTTTCTGTGTATGTGATACTGAGGAATTGAACCCAGGGCTCATGCATGCTAGGCAAGCACTCTACCACCAAGCCATCTTCTCAGGTCCCACACTTAACTTTTACTGATCTGGTTATTAAAAGAACATTCTCCTCTTCTAAAAAGAGGAGAATTGAGGGAGGGTCTCACCTGTCTTCATCTGCATCCTGGTGTTTTGGTTTGTTCAGAAAAATAGATTCGAATGATTTTCCTAGCTAGGCACAGCCTGTAATCCTACATCATGCTTATAATCCTAGCTACTCAGGGGGCTGAGATCTAAGATCTAACTTGAGATCTAAGATCTAACCTGGATGAGAAAGTCTGGGAGGCTCCTATCGCTGATTACTCACCAAAAGGAAGCTGGAATTACAGGTGTGGCTCAAGTGATACAGCACCAGCCTTGAGCAGAAAAAGCTAAAGGACAGCACTTAGGCCCAGAGTTCAAGTCCTGTACTGGAGGCACAAATGGGAGGAAGGAAAGAAGGGAGGGAGGGAGGAAGGGAGGGAGGGAGGGAGGAAGAGAGGGAGGGAGGAAGGAGGAAGAAAGGAAAGGAAAGAAGGAAGGAAGGAAGGAAGGAAGGAAGGAAGGAAGGAA